TGGCCACCTGAATATTGACATCTGGACAGCAAAATTGCTATTTATTCTTTCCAATGAAGGTAAGCTGACTCACTGGCATAGAAGAGAGACTTTAATACCAAATTTTGTTCTATGTGGCAAAAATGCCAAGTGTAACCTGTGTCACATCTTGCAGATATTACACGATTATCTGCACTTAAGATGAAGAAGAAAATCAGAATGACTGAAAGGGAAGTTTCTTCTTGGCTTCCACCCTAGCAATCAATACTGCTACATACATCTGAGCAAGAACCATGGTGGTTAAATACCTTCTTCTGAATCTCAAAAGACTTCACTGACATCTATTCCTTGCCCATATTTTTTCACTTCCAGTGGACAGGGACATTGCCTTTTTCATAGAGGAGGTGTCAGATCACGGCCCCTGGCGAATCAACACGAATCGCTGGCCACATGATTGAAACGTGTGCTCTAAGAAACAGAATTTTAGCATCCTGAAACTCCACTCTTAAAGCGCTGAATGAGGAAGCCTGTTGTGCCAGTGTGTTGATTAAAGAGACCAACATTTTCACATTCATTTTCAAAAATGGTAAAGGAGGGAGAGTAAAACATTACCTCTCCCACTTTTACCTTTTATATAGACAAATGGGTGCACTGGCCTTGCATTGTTAGTTTTACTAGAATATCTGCTGAACACCACAATGCATATGCATGCAGGTAAACATAAACACACACGCGGGCGCAACACTGAACTTTGTGTTGGCAGCCAGACTGCAGTAACCCATGTCCCCTGGGCAGCAATCAGCTATGAAGGAACAGGAAAAAGTTAGTGTAACGATTAACTAGCGCGGTGGGCTATTATTCATGACAAGTAGAGCAGCAGCAGTGCAGGCTGCGATGCTGGTCACCCCTCCCTCTGGAATGCTGCTGGGTGCCTGGAATCAAACTCAGCACAGAAAAACCAGCAAATGTAATGTCAACATAAGAAAGAAGCTGAATTCCCCCTCTTGGAGTTTGCATGTAAGGAAGACGTGCAGGAGCAGAGATTTACTGTTAAGCTTGATGTTGAAAGAATATGACAGATTCCAATATCACCATTTATCAAACATGCATGCATAGGTTTTGGTAAGATTAATAAGGTTATTGGTATCAGCTATAGGCAATTATTCCCTATACAGCAGCAAGCAACAACTCTAATGGCTGCTGGCAAGTATCAATGTTGACAGCTGCAGCCATGGTCTTAGTACTGAAGCAGACGGTTAAAGTGCATCCATTTAGGTGAAAGACTAAACCATGAGTATCCCTATAGCCAATCAGGAAAAAAATCAGTGTCATCATGGCTGTTCTCCTTCCTTTGGTGCTTTTACCCTGCAGTCCCCAGCAAGCTCCAGAAATTCTTTCAAAATTCTTTCAAGTCTTTCAAATTCTTTTAAAGCAGTGCATTAAAGCTGAACATACTGCAACACCCACTGTATTTCTCTCGGTGCTACCTCAGTCAGCATTTTGCAGAGAGGCAATACACTACTGCCTGGACTTCAGCTTGAAAAATCAAATTCCATCTGATTTTTTCTAACTTTCAATGATTTAACTTCATCAGCCATGGCAGAAATGACAATCAAAGATTCAGTTTTACTTTTTATTTTCCAACAAAAGCATTTGCTGCTTATTTAAGAAGACATTGCAAGAAAGTATTTAGCAAAAAAAAAGCAAATTCTTTCTTTCAGTAACCTCACTTTCCTTCTGAAAGGCTTTGCTCTGTGTGTGGATTATTAATTTACTTTAATTATTTTTGAAGTGCCTCTGTTTGAGTGGGTAGGAGTTAAGTATCCACAACGCCAAAGTAGGTTCTAGAATTAGTTGTTGTAAACAAAATGTTCTGCAGTGGCCTAAATCTGCACAAGTAGTAAGTCTTGAGTATTTTGGAAGTCCTTTTCCACAAAGAGTACTTCTGGGGACCCTGAAAGGTATGGGACCCAGGTCCATGAGCATATATTATGGGACTTACATTGTATGGACAGGTCATATCTTTCTAATCACAAACACATATAAATCCTTTTTCTCATTTTGTAGGAAAACAAAAATGTTGCTCTTATTTAAATGTGGAAAGCAAAATCCCACCTGGAAGAGGCTGGTACCAACTAAAGCAACTGACCAGAAATTTTAATCTGTCAAACAGGAGGATTTATTAGGACACAATGACCCAGTGATATAAGAGAATGCAGAGAGCCAGAACAACATACACAACTAGGCATGTAATCAAAACCAAATAACAATCTTTCAAAATCTCTCTAACCACAGTGCGCTCTCACACAGACACACATATACTCATGCACAGATACAGGAATACTTGTTGTTACCCTTTGTTAAATGTTTTCAGCCCAGATATCTTTCTGGTTAGTAGGTACACACACTAAAAACAACAACAAGAAGAAAACAAGCCAAAAAAGCCCTAGGAAAACTTCAGATGGAAGAGTTTGAACATAGTTATGTGCTCACATTCACAGAAAGGAGGAACCAAATCTGGGGAAAATACACAGGATTATCACTTTATAGGCAGTGGGCACTGACTTGAACAAAGACTCCAAAAATAAACACATCTAACATTTAAATCCCAAGCTGTTTTCAGTGACACCCTTTCTGCTATGACTGTATGTACACTCAAAAACAAAACCCCAGCAGCTAAACATCCACAGCCTTGAGGAATTTCCGTTCTCAATCTCAAGAAAAAGCTATCATCCAAACCTGTATCCACAGGCTTCTACTACCACATTCTGATTTAAGGAGACAAATGCAATAAAACTAGAACCGAAGAGAGAGAAAACAGTTGAAATGAAGAGTTTGCACTACCCATTCCTTCACAGATATGGAAGGTGTCATGTAGGCATCTGGAAAACCAGAAGATATCTTATCTGGTAAATCTAATTCCGTAAGTCTCCCCACTTTCAATTTGCATTCCTGTGCGTTCCGCATACTTCCATATAAATTTATAGCTCCTCTGCACTGTTGCCCATAGTTACACCCAGTATTTACAGGTAAGCCTGCAACCCTGTTCCTCCATGGAGGGAAAAGAGACAGGAAGGAAAATAGTATGAAGGGAAGTAGGAAAACAATTCTGCACTTACTCATCTGTAGTTGGTGGTTATATCTTAGGAATAGTTGCTTTAAAATACAAGTTGTTGTTGAGGTTTGATTTAAAAATCTCTGTCGGTTTTGACATTCAGGTGAAAGTATTGCTGCTGGCTCCAGAAGAATTTGCATATCTTATCACTAAATAAAATGTCTGAGGTGTGCACCAATCTGATGAAATTTTAAACAAGAGTCCACACAAGCACACATGCCTTCCTGTTTGATTTCTGTCCTGTTTACTCCTCTATAATAAATTATATGATTATCTCATTCTAGCTGGAGGCTTACTTGTGCATGTAAAAAGGAAAATGATAGCAGCCTATTCTTTTTCACACTTTACAGCTGAGAACCTGACAAAATTGTGGATTTGGGGAACAAGCAGAAAAACTTATTTTGTTACCATCTACCTCGTCTTTAATTGCCACAAAATTGGTGGAAAATCCCATGTATTTATGTATTTTCAAAAATAATTTCCCACACTGAAAATAAATAAATAAATGAAACTACACCTCTTTTACTACAAACACTAATATACATGCTTAACTTTATGTCCTGCAATTAATCTCATCTACTTCAACAGGATTACTCATAATGCTATGAGTGAAATACATGTGTAACTCCTTGCAGAATCATGGCCTGAATTGCCAACAACATTATATGGCACAATTAAATGCCTAGGCCTAGAGTGGCTCTTCAGAAAGATTAGGAAAAAAAAAAAACTTTAGGCATAATAAGTAACAAAATCTACTCCGGGAAGTGGCTATGGGAGAAACAGTATTGTCGCCTTCCCTTGGGAAATTCACCTGTCACCAGATCCTTCCAGTAATTCACCTTCTTCCTCTACCAGTTACCACCTTCACTTACCACTCCTTTCTCACTCATCAAATATCATTCTCCCTCTCCACACATCCTGCTGCTGCTGCTATGTGACGAAGGAGCCAGGAGATGCATCTTACTCCTTCTCATTCTTTTGTGCAGTGAAGTAGGATGAGAGCACAGTCTGGCCCTTACGTTAACTAGCATAGTAATAAACAGCTCACGTGCTAGTTAACAGAGCTGGGTGCACAACTGAACGATTTCACCAACTTTGCTTCTTAACCATCTGGTTTCTTCTGCAAATACTCATGAATGCTATATCAGAAGTTACTCTCTGTACATTGTCTAGTTTTTGACTAAAATCCACGGCTTCCACAAACACTTCTGCTTGTAAATTAACTCAGTCAGAAATATTAACTAAAATGCCAGGAAAACAAAATCAATCCCTTAAAAGTTCAAATGACTATTTGTCACAAACATTTCACCTCTACTAATGAACAGCAAAAATGAATGATAGAAAATGCAAAACTGTATTATGTTTAGCAGTTAACATTTTAATAAGGAGGAGATTAGCAATTTTTAATACCTCCAGTGCTTTGTTATATACAGTAGCACAATAACTGAATATTTTAATTGCTAATTATTTAGACCTCATTCAGTTCTCACTCAGGCAAAACTCCCATTGAGGGACTCTTGCCTGAGAAAAGAGCTACAGGATTTGTCTTACCGTAATTTGAAAAAACTTTATATATCATAAAAACTGTCAAGTTATAGTGAGACAAAAATCATTAAATCCTTAGCAATATTAAACCCTACTGAAAGTCCCACTGACTCTTAACGCCAATGTTTTCATATTAAGTAAAACAGATAATTGCGGTTTACCAGTTGTAACTTACCTGTATAATTTATGCCCAGATATGCTGCTGCTCTTAAAGAGGTCTAGTAACGTTTTGAGTCTTCTTACCGTATCCCTGCTTTTCTCCTGTGGGAAATCTCAGTTCAAACATGATAGGGAAATAGCATTTCCAAACTATTATGATGCCAACACCTTCAGAAACCCAAAAACTAGCATTTGGTTTTACCTTTTGACTTCGGACTCCAAAAGGGTTAAGAGCAGCTCTCAACACTTCTTTCTTATGCTGCTGTAAAGAAAAGAAATGCTTACGTTTAGGGATTTGCACACACAACACCTTGAGTTTTCATAACAGTCAAATAGCTAGGCATTCAGTGGGGGAAGCGGGTGGAATGCTGTATAAATATACACATATAGCTATCTGAAGGGAGACAAAACAAAGTCCTACACATTCACATTTAGTACATAGGTGATGAACAAATCAGCTAAATGTACTAGTATCCAAAATGTCATGTTATACACATCCTTCAGAGAGAAAAGTTACACAACTGAACACCAAATTAATAAGATTCCATGCTTAAAATAAAACAAAACAAATCTCAGTTTTTCCATTAAGTGTAGTTTCATTTCTGTTAGAGATAAAAGCAAATGGGTGTCACAACCGAAGTTTTGCCACTTACGTTTGCCATTCAATGCATTTGTGGGAAAAGTTACAGGTAAGTACTCTAACAGGTCAAGAGTTTGAAGAGGTTCTTTTATTTTTTTTTAAATGAAAAATTGTGTATAAAGTCTTCACATCTTTCAACTATAAACGGCTTTAATGACTAAAATGTTCAGAAAACCTCTCTATAGGCTGCATTTTGAAAAAAGAATTAAAAGCAGACTTAGTACCTTATACCACTAATTACCAAAATGTTCAGAACTAGCTGCCAAACAGCTGAGGAAGTATTTTGAAGTCTGAAAATAAGACTCGGGCACTTCACTTCCACCAATTCAGAATATGTTTTAGGGACCTGATTGGTGTAATTTCCAACTCCTGTTATGAGAAGTTCACTTAAATTACAATGCCCGAACCCACTCCAGCCAGGCTTCTTGCTTCCTCGCAGGAGCAGCGAGATCCCTTCATTCCCCTCAAGCACTGACCTTCCGTCTAAGAACTTGTGTCCAAAGCTAATACCAGCTCAAGTGTGGCAGGACAGGGCTAACTAAGCCTACTGGTATTCTTTAATCCTTCGCTGGTGAGGGGTTTTCAAAGCTAGCCACAAAGACATTTTAATCACTGAGATTTTGACCCCTTTTGTCATACTACAGAACTGATTCAATTGCACTTATTTGCTACAGACCTGTCTCCTCAAAGCTCAGATGATTTTTTTTATCTGGTAACAGACCTGTGATTTGTCACCTGTTAAAAGTAATCTGTTAACAGAAAAGAACTGCTCTGTGGAGCACCCTTGCTTATTTAGAAAGGACACAAAGTGTTGCTTTCTCAGACAAAGAAGATGCAACACCAGCAGGCTTTCAGACGCGGCCTTTCCAAGCCTGACTTCCCACCAGTTCCTGGCTACTACAGAGACGCTTCTGTTGCTTTCTCAGAGACACGCTTGCAATTTCTTTTCACATCTGCAGCCTTCCTCTTGTTTTCTGGGTGCTTTCCACCTCTGATCATCACGATCAAACGACACGCCAGCTTCAGCATTTGTGAAAATTTCCCTATGGCAATCCCCTCCAGCCTACGTGGGTCAGTCCTGAGCATACACAGCGTAGCCTGTTCGATGGCGGCTTCCACTGTTTTCAGGGAGGAAGGTTTATTTTGCTTGAACTAAGGCTGTGTAGCATGTGCTTCAGCTTTCATAAGGTCTGCAGTTGCCTGAATAGACACACTGGATGGCAGCTGTTAGCACTTTCCAACATTACACAACCATGGTCTGGAATAGTCTGTCAGTTCCGCGCAGACAATGAATGAAGCAAAACAGAAGGCCTAAAATATTGAGTAACGAGGATAGGATTTTGACCTTTAAATGCTGTTAGATGTATTGCATGAGGATATGTTTGATTTAAGCGATACTATTAGGTATGAAACTGTGCTGTTTGCCTAATGTCTAACTCATCTAACAACTGAACCACTCTGTACTTGCTGGCACACTATGTGCTGCAGCGAGAGATGGCTCTGCTGAGTGAGCCCAGTAAGAGAGGGTGGCACTGGGGAATGTGGAAGAGATGAAAAGAGGGGGGAAAGCATCAGAAAAACTGATCACAAGGTGAAAGAAAATATTTTCTATTTTAAACCCACTGATCAGTCAGACCCATGGTGCTGCTTAGACATTATCTCCTCAAGCTCTGCAAAGGATTAAATCCAAGTCAAAAGTCTCAGTTTCCCTCCTCTGGTCTACTAGCATCTGAAATTTTGTACAACTACCCATGATGTACACAGCTATCTTTTTGTCAGTTGTGATTCTTGCCAGAAAGTGCTACACAAGAGTCTGTATAACTGTTATGGTTACTTTTCTTTATTTTCGCAATCATTAATCGATCCTTTCCAAACATCTGAATGCCTGAGTTCAATTAGTGGCAACATTTCCGCCACATAGTGTTTAAAACTGTTTTTATATGTGATTTAAATTAATCAACCCTTATACTTGAGATGGTCATTTGTTGGACCAAAACAGCTACTAGAGCATACCTTATCCAAAATTACAGGCCATTCATTCTGTTTTCAATTCCAACCTCCATGTTTACATTGAATTGTTTCACTTGGATCAACAGCTTATTGGTGATTCAAATTATATCATATCAAGTAATACCCTCTAAATCTGATGCATTCACATGACATCAATGATGTGAAAAACTATGCACACAACTCAGCAAACCGCTTTTGGTCCACTTGAAAGTTAAACCCCACATACTAAGCACAGGCGAATACTTCACAGCATAGGATCACAATAGGCTTACTAACCTCAAAGTCACAAAATAGATCACAATACTCAGAGAGGCTTGAAGTAGATCATGGTAATTTCCTAGAAAAATGTGCTTTCAAGGATGAAGCAAATTAGGTACACCTACTAACTCTGCTTTTTAAAATATCTAACCAGAACGAGATCTACCACAAAAATAAGAAATACGGAAAAGGACAATTTAAACAGTGCTGAATTTAAAATGCCTCTTCTGTTGTGCCAGTTGCTTGTACAGTAACAACAGCATACTGTAATGCTGTTCAAATGCAAACAAGAAAGAACTATACATACTTGTTCATTTCCTTATGTTAATGCCTTATAAACTGCATGGCCTTTTGACATTTGCTACTAATGAAAAAAATCCTATTCAGTGAGCTATCATCAGATTAAGTGAGACCAAGATAAATACATTCCATTCAAGAATATGTAAAGAACGTGTCAATTTTATTTACATTTTCTTTCAAGGTTATGGAGCTTTTGCCCAGGGGGGAGAAAATATTATAGGATGATAACTGTGAGGATCTTCTCTTTTTAAGACTCTATATTCAAAGAACAAAATGCAAAGAATAAGATAAATTATATTAGCATCACTCCAGTTCAATTCCTTCCAAACAGCCATCATACATACAAACTAAACTCTGGTAGGAAGTGGATGAAAGCAATCACTGCTGATTAATGCTAAGAATATAGGAGCCAAAAGAGTTTCAGACAATGATACACTGTGAGACTACCAGTAAATCTCTTGGTCTCTTTTGAGATTCAGTCAACCTGGCACGAACACTGGGTAAAGTATGTCCTTAGCAAAACGGACAATGCATCACAGCAATGCTCTTCTTTAAAAAAGAGACTTGTGTGTGAATTTAATGCGTATGGAAAAGTCTAATCTGGCAGGCTTAGAGCTTGAAATCCTCTCATTTCCAGGACAGTACTTCTAGCAGCAGAACAGATTGACTCACACAGGCTCACCACTACCCTTCAGCCTTGAACTGAGGGACCATGTTGAGTGGTCAGGTTTTGTGGCTGGTTCAACCTCTTTCACTGGATTTACAACCACAGACCAATTACTATTGACTGTAGTAATGTTTTTTGTGATATGGACTTCTGTCCACTGAGAACTAGAGTTGAGATCTCTTTAACTTGTTTCAATAGTCAAGTTTGTCTGTCTGGGGGGAAAAAAAGGAATAAATCAAATGACGAGCATTAAACTCCATGATAAAGACAGATACTGGATAATTTCTGAAGACAACTGCCCAAAGCAGACCACTGACCTGGCCTGCAGGTATAAGATAATGAACTGGATATGAATTGGCTTTTTTGCAGGAAAGGAAGCTTCGTACACGTATGGAAAAATTTTAAAGAAACAACAGTGTTACAGTTTACACATGAAAAAGTCCTTCAGAAAACAATTTAAGTTCCCTGTGCACTTCTAAATTCTATTTGAAAAAGACTATCTGCCCATATTTATCTCCATGGAAGACTTGGATTAACTGCCTAGGCCCAGGACAAAATGACCTTTGAAGGCAACAGTCACGTGATGGAGAAAGAGGAACATCTGTAACACTTAACCTCCTTAGGTTAGCAGGTTAACCTCTTTACTTTATGTACCATAACTTTACTTAAACAGAAATCATGACCTGGAACATGAGAAGCAAATGGCACTTTTAGTGTTAGAGGTACTAGCAACTAGCCTGTGTATTTCTTCAGAAGGAAATACCAATGCAGACGGTGAATTAAAACACGCCATGGTAACAGATGAAGACTTCAACTGTCAACAAAATCAGGCTATTAATTCTCACATAAACAGTCTTTTTAAATCTTTGATTTTTAATATACAATCCAAAGATCACTCTCACATTTCAGCAGCTTTTGTCTTTTAATGCCAATCATTTCAACTGACTTTTCTCACTACCCTGTGCTTTCTCTCCCCTTTGGAAAAGGTGAGTGAAAATATCAAATGATATCTTACTCTGCCAAGGCCAAAGGAGCCGTTCAAACATTCAAAAAAATTAGGCAATGACTTTGCTTAAGGCAGGGAGGGAATGTGATTAGCAGTGGGGTGGATCACTGCCTGGCAGGTGAGGGGAAAAAAACCAAACCTGAACCCAAACCTCTTCTCATTCTCTGTTTCAATCTATGCTTAGGTCTAGACTATGTAAACAGCAACCAAAAATTACTGGATGGAGAACACAGATTTATATTGCTGCTCATCACGTTCTTTTCTCAAGTGACAGATACTGAGATTCAAGGGGAACCTGGGAAACTATTGGCCTGTTCATTACCACCAACAGCAAAGATGCCCTGACTGATCCACTTGGACTAAACTATCACCTGCCGCAGG